GTAGAATTCTGCACTGAAGCCATCTGGCCCTGGGCTTTTTTCCCTGGTTGGGAAACTTCTAATGCTTCAATTTCATTAGAGGTTATAAGTCTATTTAAGTTGCTTACCTGTTCTTGATTTAATTTTGGTAAGTGAAATTTGTCCTGAAAATTGTCAATTTCCTTTAGATTTTCAAAATTTGAGGAATATAGGTTTTCAAAGTATGATCTGATGATTCTCTGGATTTCCACTGAGTCTGTTGTTATGACTCCCTTTTCATTACGGATTTTATTAATTTGCATGTTCAGTCTTTGTTGTTTGGGAAGTTTGGATAAAGGTTTGTCTATCTTGTTGATTTTCTTGAAGAACCAACTTTTTGTTATATTGATTCTTTGTATTGTTCTCCTAGTTCCCATTTTATTGATTTCAGCCCTCAATTTGATCATTTCCTGGCATCTGCTCCTCCAGGGTGTATTGGCTTCATTGTTGTCTAAAGCTTTCAGTTGTGCTGTTAATTCTCTAGTGTGATTATTCTCCTGTTTTTTCATATGGGCTTTTAGCGCTATGAACTTTTCTCTTAGCACTGCTTTCAGAGTATCCCATAGGTTTGGATATGTTGTGTCCTCATTCTCATTGAATTCTAGGAAATCTTTAATTTATTTTTTTTATTTCTTTCTGGACCCATGAATTGTGCAATTGGGTGTTACTTAATATCCATGAGTTTGTAGGTTTTCTGTAGTTCTTGTTGTTGAATTCTAATTTTAAAGCATGGTGGTCTGATAAGACACAGGAGGTTATTTCAATTTTTTTGTACATGTTGAGGTTTGCTATGTTGCCAAGTATGTGGTCGATTTTAGAGAAGGTTCCATGTGGTGCTGAGAAGAAGGTAAACTGTTTTTTATTTGGGTGTAATGTTCTATAGATGTCTGTTAAGTCTAAATGCGCCATAACCTTTATTGGTCCTTTTGTTTCTTTGTTAAGTTTCTGTGTGGTGTTCCTGTCCAGTGGTGAGAGTGGGCTGCCTCTGGAAGCTGCCTCTGGGTGTTCGGTGTTCGGAACCCACCGCCACCGCCACCGCCACCGCAGAACTGGGTCTGGCAGGCAGGTTGCTTGCCTCAGATGACTCTGCACAGCGATGACGAAACGGAACTGGAAACAGTTCCTGGCCTACCTGGGCCAACAGAAGGAGGCCGAGCTGCCTCTGGTTGTTCGGTGTTGGGAAGCCACCGCCAGCTCTGAATTTGGTCTCCACTCGCCAATTTTTTAATGAATATCAATGATTCGTTGCTGCATGAAAACTGAATGAATGAATGAAGTTGTGATTTGCAACAATTGAATGAGTTTAACCCTCTGAGAGAGTCCAAGACTCTTCAGAAGAGGACAAGGCTGAGAAACTTTGAGAGTTGACAAGGCTCTGGGCACTTTGGAGGAGGAAAAGGCTCTGGGCACTTTGGAGGAAGACAAGGCTCTGGACACTTTGGGGGTGGGCACACAAGAGGAGACTGGCAGGTCTGCTTGCACTGCTGCTGTTTGTAAGACATTGTGCTGAAGCCTCAGGGTCTGGAGGACGGTATGTGACAATTTTCACAAGAGTTGATCCCCACAGAGAAAAATCATAAGTTTATGAAACATCAGAACTATTCCTCAACACCAACTCTTCAAGACGTCCTGATTTTCCTTCCATATCACCATGTTTGTTTCAATAAACTGGTAAACCACCGCTTTTCTGTACATTTTCTGTGAGAAAACACCTTTCTTCCAAAAAATAGAGTAACTGAACTTGCTGAATACATCGTCTCCAAGAAAGGCAGGCTGAAATTTAAGTTCTACAATGCTAAGAAATCCCAATGGTGACAGTAATCACTGCCATTATTATCACTTGTGATATCACATGAAGTTGATAGGGTAAAAAAAAAAAGAGCCAAAAATAAAGAATCTGGAAAGTCCTAAGAGGGTGAACAAAAGAGTACGGGAAAGAGAAAAATAATCCCTTTGGTCCTGGAAAATTGTGGGTTTTTTAAAGGATAAAAACAGAAAAAAGAAGAGGAAAAGAGCCGTCCACCTCTTCTCTGTGAAGCACACAGGAAATGAATCAATCTCAATGAAGCATGTCAGGTTCCTGTGACTGTCTAGTGCTTCTGACAGTAAGGAAGGGTTTAACTGAGAATCTCCCTGTCCATGTCCCTTAATGTGTATGACATCATCATCATACACCTGAGGCCATGTCCCAAGAACTGTAGACACTGTAGACTCTGAATCTGAGTTCCTTCTACTGAAACTCCATGAAAAACAGTCACAGATGAACAGGTCACATAGACACTTTCTCCAAGTATGAACCTTCAAGACGAGAGACCTCGAATACATGTGTGAACATGCATAAATACTCACACAATGGCAATTTTGAGCTGTCATCTATCATTGAGCTAAACATTTGATTCCCTTCTATTTATGATCTTTTTAAAATCAGATGACCCTTAGTTCAACCTACATATTTTTACCCGCATAGAGAGAGGTCTGCACTCTAAATCCCAGAAAGAAATGCCTTATGCCAATGCAGAACACAGTGCTGGAAGAGCACCTGGTGCTGGTTTGCTTGAGCCCCTTGCTGCTCTCAGTCTATCTGAAGCAATAATGGAAAGAATTCAGTCAGCCTTTGTGCTGTGAGACAGATTAGAGATGAGGACTTGAGCGGAGGTGTTTCAGTTCTCTGTTCAGAACAAGCTGCTGCCCATAGCTCTGCTGGATTACTTGGCATGAGCTCAAGTAAGATGCTCTGCAGACTGTGTTCCTCAAAGAGCCAGAGTTTATTTCTCACACATGTGAGAGCATGCCTTATATTCTCTTCTGCAGTGTTGTCCAGGGATTGCCATCTTCCCTGTGTCTGTCCTTGAGCGTCCCATATCTTTCTGTGCCTAACTTTTCACAGGCAGATATCAGAAAAGCAGGAAGAGGACCTACCCAAATGACCTCCAACTAAATTAATCTGCTCTCTGAAGACCACATATCTAAGTACAGGTGCTACTAGAGTTCTGGGGGATGGAAGCTCAACACATAAGAATCTGAGGCACACATGTCATCCCACAAGAAAGGTCCTTAATTTCAGGTCCAAGTACAAACTATAGAAAATATGGAGACCATGATCTGATGACAATTTTGCAAAATAGAGTTATTTCCCATGCTGTGCAAAACTGTTCCCTTCTTCCCTCAGTAGTTGAAAACTACAAGAGATATGGACATTGGAATCCAACTTATATAGCCTATGCTTATTTGGGGGGGCATTGGTACTGATAAAGGATCTTCCTTCATCCATGTATCTACATACATAATTATTTAACTTCAAATCTTTATAAAAAATAAGTTGCTGCAGAAACTCTGCCAAGTTCATGCCAGTGCCAGAAGCTCAACTGGAGATTCCTTTGTAATGAAAGGAATATCAGTCACTTATTGAGTTCAGAACCTTGATCAGTGGGTGTTTCCTTGAGCAACATCCTCATGTCCTCATGAATTCAGTTGACTTTAAACTTTGTAATCCGTGAAGCCTTTCTCCCAGAAGAAAAGAATGAGGAAAGTGCTGAAATACAGGACTTTGTGAGATCTCAAGTATCCAGAATGTCCAGAAAGGAGGAAATTTGACCTATGAACACACTTTTCTCTCCTGTTCTTCCATCCATCCTCTTTCTAAAGATTGCTATTATCTTATGAAGGAGAATCATACATCCCACAAATCCCCTTTATCCTCATGATTGCATAGGAAATGGGGTGAATTAGCAATTACAGGGACACAGTGGGAAAAGAGCAATGTAGTATTTGAATGACATTTAATGAACAGTTATGACAAAGCCAACCAGTGGAAATGTTGGCAATTATGTTGAACTGCTACTGGTAGTATATATAAACAACCACTGAGCAGGACATCATACATTGATGTCTGAGACTGACTACAGAACTGGTGATGATTTAATTTTATGCTAAAGATGAAAATTAATAATAGATGATAGTTAAATAGGTTATAGGTAGATGAACGATAGATGATGGAGTTTCTACCTTAAATTAAAAAAAAAAAAACCTTTTAAGAAGTTAAGGAATTCTGTCTTCAACACAATGAAATATGGTATCAACAACATAAATTTGAAATAATATTGAATTAGTCTCTGATATAACATAATTCAGACAATACAGAATTAAATTTTAAAATTCCTCTGCCAAAGGATAGAATAATGCAAAATAGTAACACAATATTAAAAAATATTTTCCAAGGAAAAAGTATTTATTAGACCATCACCAAAAGGTAATTTATTCAGTAAGTGAAACAACAGTGACAACCGCTGTCCACAGGTGACAGGCAGACTGGGAAGGCTCCTCTGAGGGCCCAAGATAGGTAGACAGCTGCTGCTCTTGCCTCGGAGTATCTGGAATACTGAACCACCAAGGAAGGACCATTCTCAGGGCCCCTTGAGAACAGCAGGAAGACAGCCTCAGAGGCATGCCTTCTCTATCAGGGGTCATCAGAAGCACATAGAGGAGAAGGGTGGAGAAGATTCTTCGGCATCCATGACAGGCTTTGAAAGAAGAGGAGTGTTTATATGGAAGTAGATGAAGTGGATTTTCTTTCTTTCCCCTCTTCCTGGTGACTCCTGAAGCCCTCACTTGCTCTTGGGTGGACACTTCTGCTGGCATGGTGGACAAATTTGCACAGGAGGGCACGTTGGCTGGCATGGCTGAGGAGGGCATGGCTCAAGACACTGAGGAGGAGGACAAGGCTCTGGGCACTTAGGGGGTAGACACACAGGGGGAGGCTGGCAAGGCTGCTTGCACTGCTGCTGTTGGTAAGACATCGTGCTGAAGTCTCAGGATCTGAAAGACATTGCAAGACAGTTCTCACAAGAGACACCCACAGAAAATGAAACTAGGCTTATGGGACTACAGAATCTTTTCTTTCCTTCCTGTGGACCTGTTGCACATGAAAATCTTCCAGTCTCATTTTAAGACATCCTGGGCTTCCTCTGCTACTTCAACATATTTTTTCAACAGCTTTAGCCAACCTTTCTGTTATCTCATATCATTTTTCCTAAGGATATACTTGTGTTCCCTAGCACTGGGAAATGTTATTTATATGAATAGAACATCCTTGTAACCTTGGCATTCTTATAAACAGTACCCATCTAATGCTACTGTATTTCAAGTAGAATTACTGAGCAACACAAACAACACAAAGAATAGGTGGCACTCTGAACCTCTTGTAACACAACCCGTTGAAAGGGATTCCATCGAGATACGAATAAAAGAAAATTGCATGCTTTGCTTTGTTCTCATCTCAAATCAAAACTTCCTCAACTATCTTGCCTTTCCATGTAGACATTAAATTACAGTACAGACAAATGCAAAAGCAATCCAGTACAGTACATGAATGTCATCCATTCCAAAAGTTGCATCTACTGTCACATTTAACCCATGATCAGTTAGGGCCCACCAAGCTACAGTATTTAGGTGAAACTCCTCACATGAGAATACCCCAAAGGCAGACCCTCTCAAGAACTCAAGAAATCAGACTCACCTGGTTCTCCGCAGTAGAGCAGGGCTTGAGTACCAAGAATACTGCAGCCAAGCACTGAGACTCTTTATAGGACTGCCTGCCTCACCCAGGGGGAAGTAGATCTGCCCCTCATGGGCAAGTCCAAGAATTTCCTAACATAAATGCAAATCCATCCATAACTGGCTGGACAGGGACTCTGAAAAGTAGGAACTATCCCATCCTTGGCCATCATCACTGGGTTGAGTCCTGTGACTCAGAGGCCTTTCCTTTCCTCTTGGTTCCAGTGATCTTGCCAACTGGTAGGTTGAGGGATTCTCTAACTGGTTATGAAAGCTCTTTTGACTGAAGACCATACCTCTTTGTGTGCCGCAACCATCCTTTGTCTTACACTCATGTTTCTGTGTTATTTGTCCTTCTTTAGTTTGTTGCTAGTTTTCAGTATATAAACCCACTTCTATGGGGGGCGGGTATTTGCTTGTTTTCTTTTTTATGTCCTCAGACCTTTACAACTTTGTTAGAAGGAAGAAGAGAAGCAAAAGAAACTTCATTCTGGTCCAAGTTCCCCCTTTAACAAGTCCTGTGCTCAGGGTCTTCTAGTTTAAATTTAAATTTAAATGCATTTAAATTTCTCAGCAAACATGGAAAAATAGTCCGTGTCTCTAAAAGTAAGTGCTGACAACTTTGGGCTGCCTGTGAACCTGCTCAGCATAAAGTTTTCTCCTTCATCTTTCTTTCCTCCAGAGGATCTCAGATTTGACCTACATTCTCTGCGCTTGATAACAGTCATCTTCCTCTGAGAATAGGACTCTCTCCATGGGTAGATGCTGGTCCCAGAGTGGCATCCAGTCTCTTCAGTGCTGTTTTTCTTTGTGTTCTACAAGATGTATGCTACAGCCTTTTTAATTGGTTGATTAGTTACTTATTTACTTACTTAGTTATTGGCTTTTTCAAGAAAGGATTTCTCTGTGTAACAGTTAACAATTCTGGCTACAACTCACTCTGTAGACCATGTTGGCCTTGAGCTCACAGAGATTCACCTTCTTCTGCCTCCCAAATGCTGGCATGTGTCACCACCACACAGGACATTTTTATTTTTTTATTCGAACATACTCTTAATAATAATATGAAGGAAAGGGGGAGAAGTGAGCAAATATCCCAAGCATTCATTCAAATTTATTTATTAAGCCTCACCTGTGTGGTCCTCAGATGTACTTCCTACGGTACAGAGTAAGAAGACTAGACTCAGCCATCACATTCAAATAATTGAGCATAAGTTAGGAAGGGGCAATAGAGCTTTATAAGTATGAAATCTGAGGCAGGGGCATATGAAGTTAGGTTAGACTCACATGTTGGATTTTATTTACTAACTTTCCTGGTAGAGTTAATGGTTTTTGAAAACAGTATTTCAAAACTGTTTCTGTAGACATGATAGTTCTGTCTTTTCCACAAGTTCATCACCCTCTCTACCTCTCCACCAACTTCTCCTACATATACCAAATTGTACAGAGAAGACAGCAGCACTGTTCTCTGTTAAGACAAATGCCAGTATTCACTGTCACAGAAGACAAGGTCAATGCATTGGCAGTCTGTTCCCATTCCTGTCCCTTCACTCTTCATACAATCACTAGAGCTGGATAACTATGTAGTCAACATTTACAGTGACATATCTAGGGTTTCTCTGTTAATTAAATGATTAGAAACTCCAAAAGTAGTGTAGTTTTATTAATAGAGAAGAAAAAAAAGGGATGATGAGGAAAAGGAAAGACTTAAACTCTCTGAAGCAGCCACCAGCTATTCTGCACAAGGTTCAGGAACACAAAGTCAACCTCAGCTGAGCAGCTCAGCTTCCCAGAACTGTCAATGCTGCTGACATTCAGGAAGAGTTTAGACAACAACATCACTGTCCCTACAGAGTCTCCACAGGGAAATAGATATGATTTCAGCAGGTGAGGCCAGGCACTAACCAATGACATCATCATGAATGGCTCACTTTAGCTACAACTCATACCACAGGGCTAGATCAAGGGCCTTTACTCAATAGTCTCCTTTGAGTCTCCAGATTCTCCCATCATATCTAAAGCATCATTCTAGGGGGATGTCTGGTTTCTATCATCCAAAGTTAGAAAATCAGCTGGCAAAGTGTGAGTATAGTATCATAATAAAGTTTTGGTTACACCTTGGCTCTTTCTCCAACTATACCACACCCAAAGAGACATTGAGTTAAAAAATTCAGCCAGTCCCATGAAGACAACTATCATGTGTTTTTTCCAACTGTTAGAATCTTGGGTGTGAGGAGTGCATGAAAATCCAAAAGGTCTATGAACTGTGAAACAGGAAGGGATCTAAGAGTAAGAGGAATAAAGAGGTGGATGTGATCAACATGGCACATTTATGAATGGATAGGTCATAAGGAAACCCCTCACTTTCTACAATTAATGCGCACTAATAAAATTTAATGAAAGGCTACTAATCATAATATTGTAAGCAACCAAGTGAGAGAGCACCTGTCATCACTTTCCAGACTGGGGTGGGTAAGTTTAATGAGTTCCTTGCAAATCAGCTATAACAGGGGTTCTCAACCTGTAGATTGCAAACCCTTCATGGATTAGAGTGAATCTTACCCAGGGATCACCTAAGACCATCGGAAAACACAGATGTTTCAAGATAGTAGTATATTTACAGTTATAGAATAGCAATGATAATGTTTTCATGGTTGGGGGATCACCACAACATGAGGAACTTATTAAAGGACCAGAACATTAAGGCTGAGAACCATTAATCTATAGAAATATCTGTCTCAGATGAAGTGTGCAACAACACATATTTTCTCCAGGTCTCTCCCTGTATGTCTCTGTCTCCGTCTCTGTCTCTCTATCTCTGTCTCTCTCTCTCTCTCTACCTCTCTCTCTCTCTCTCA